AATTATGTTATGTTAAATTTGTGAATCAAATATGTAAATACGTGTGATAAGATGACAAATCAAATCGTATTTTGATGGCGAGTTTCTTCGTCTTCGCCGTTCTCCCTCGCTGCTATTTTTACAATGTTAACAGATTTTTCAGATTTTTTCTTGCTGGCAATTCTAACATATAAGGTTGGATATTCAATTTCATTTTGATAAAATAAGCGATTTGATCGTCCACAACGCAGAAAATTCAGGTTGTATCGCGTATATTTTCGTAAGATTAACGTGAAGAGCTGATCAGCCATTGTCGCCTTTGACGTCACAGGGTCACGTGACGGCTATCTAATTAACTTAGATCTTTAAATCAGGGGTTTTCATTTGAGTCAATAATTGATTAATTACCGCAGTTTATCTGCAGTAAAAACACAAAATTTATAAACTGTGGTCATAATGAATGTTTTACGCTTTTAATTTCAAATAATTTAGAAACATGCGATAAGTCCTTTAAGTTCTAATCTGTGCCCCACTTAACACTATCACCAGGCAGCCTGTTAACAAACTATTAGTGCTTCTGTACTATTTTTAAACCCATATTAAGACTTCTAGCATTGACCTCTATTATGGTCTTTGAAGAACTTTTAATAAGGTAAGTTATTTTTGTCTCATTTTTATTAATCTATTACTTACAAGTCTACCTGATTATTAAAACTAAGAAAATACTTTTTGAATTATATGATAAACGTTCTTGCATAATTATCTTATTCTATTTACCTTTCAAATACATTATTTACAGTGATTAATTATCAAAGGTGAACGGAAAAGGGAAATAACTTCTCTCAGTAGAATACAAATTAATAGAGCCCTGCCCAGGACTAGAATGCTTAGACAAATGGTCCAGATGTTCAAAAATCTGGTAGAAATAAGCTTACTTATATCATTTAAACTTTTACTCAGTTTTCTTCCGATATGCCCAGAAGTAGAGAAGAATTTCACAGGTACAATGCATTTTCACTACAGATTCAACAAAGCCTTACCCAACACCAGAACCCAAGACCAAGGGTCAACAAATTTACAAATTTGGAAGAGTTACCCTCATCACCATAACTATGGACTTCGAAGAATTAACACTTTTCCACTATATTATCAAAAGCCCCCCCCCCCCTCGTTATGCCAGAACCCCTGACCCTAGGACCACAAGATTTAAAAATTCTGTTTGAAGCTCCCATTTTCATCATAGCTAAGCAATTTATTTATCAGCTCAACACTAAGGAGCAGACAGGATTAATTAATGATTAATTAATAGAATTAATGCTTTTTCACTATATAATCAATAGAGCCCCCTCCCCCTTCCTCAAGAACCCCAAAAACTGAGGCCATATATTTAAAAATTTTGGAAGAAGCATCCTTGCCTATCATAATCATGCACTTAGTTTGTTTAAATAATCTCCAGTAGCAGAGAAGAAGATTTTCAAAGAATCAATGCATTTTCACTATATAATCAATAGAGCCCCACCCTAACACCAGAACCCCTGACCCTGGGGCCATGAAATTCACAATTTTTGAAAAGGCATCCTTATGCATCATAACCATGTACTTTGTTTGTTTAAATAATACCCAGGAGCAGAGAAGAAGATGTTCAAAGAATTAATGCATTTTCACTATATAATCAATAGAGCCCCGCCCTAACATCAGAACCCCTGACCCAGGGGCGATGGCTTTCACAGTTCTGGAAGAGGCCCACCTCCTCATCATAACTATGTACTTAGTTTATCACCTTAATGCCCAGGAGCAGAGGAGAAGATTTTCAAAGAATAAATGCATTTTCACTATATAGTCAATAGAGCCCCGCCCTAACACCAGAACCCCTGACCCTGGGGCCATGAAATTCATAATTTTGGAAGAGATACTCTTGCTCATCATAACTATGTACTTAGTTACTTTATTAAATATCCAGGAGCAGAGAAGAAGATTTTCAAAGAATTAATGCATTTTCACTATATAATCAATAGAGCCCCGCCCTAACACCAGAACCCCTGACCCTGGGGCCATGAAATTCACAAATTTGGAAGAGGCTCTCTTGCTCATCATAACTATGTACTTAGTTACTTTATTTAATACCCAGGAGCAGAGAAGAAGATTTTCAAAGAATTTATGCTTTTTCACTATATAATCTATAGAGCCCCGGCCACCCTAACACCAGAACCCCTGACCCTGGGGCCATGAATTTCACAATTTTGGAAGAGGCTCTCTTGGTCATCATAACTATGTACTTAGTTACTTTATTCAATACCCAGGAGCACAGAAGAAGATTTTCAAAGAATTAATGCATTTTCATTATATAATCAATAGAGCCCTGCCCTAACACCAGAACCTCTGACCCTGGGGCCACGAATTTCACATTTTTGGAAGAGGCACTCTTGCTCTTCATAACTATGTACTTAGTTACTTTATTAAATACCCAGGAGCAGAGAAGAAGATTTTCAAAGAAATAATGCACTTTCACTATATGATGTATATAGCCCCACCCTGGGGCCAGAACCCCTGTCCCTGGGGCCATGATTTTCACAATTTTGGAAGACCCACTCTTGCTCATCATAACTATGTACTTAGTTACTTTTTTTAATACCCAGGAGCACAGAAGAAGATTTTCAAAGAATTAATGCATTTTCACTATATAATCAATAGAGCCCCGCCCTAACACCAGAACCCCTGACCCTGGGGCCATGAATTTCACAATTTTGGAAGAGGCACTCTTGCTCTTCATAACTATGTACTTAGTTACTTTATTTAATACCCAGGAGCAGAGAAGAAGATTTTCAAAGAAATAATGCACTTTCACTATATGATCTATATAGCCCCATCCTGGGGCCAGAACCCCTGACCCTGGGGACATGAATTTCAGAATTTCTGAAGAGGACTTCTTGCTCATCATAACTATGTACTTAGTTACTTTATTTAATACCCAGGAGCAGAGAAGAAGATTTTCAAAGAATTTATGCTTTTTCACTATATAATCTATAGAGCCCCGCCCTAACACCAGAACCCCTGACCCCGGGGCCATGAATTTCACAATTTTGGAAGAGGCACTCTTGCTCTTCATAACTATGTACTAAGTTACTTTATTTAATACCCAGGAGCAGAGAAGAAGATTTTCAAAGAAATAATGCACTTTCACTATATGATGTATATAGCCCCACCCTGGGGCCAGAACCCCTGACCCTGGGGCCATGAATTTCACAATTTTGGTAGAGGGCTCAATGCTTGTTACAATGATGCAAACAGTTTGACTGCTTGATGTCCTGGAGTAAAGAAGAAGATTTTTTAAGATTGCATTATTTTTGGTGGTTTTAGCCCCACCCCTCAGGCCCCGGGGGGGGGGGGGAGGGGGGGGGGCAGGGACCATGAAATTCACAATTTTTGTTCCCCTTCACCCATAGATGCTATATGCCAAATTTGGTTGAAATTGGTTAAGCGGTTTCAGAGAAGAAGCTAAAAATGTTCAAATGTTAACACACGACGCACGACGGACGCCGACGGACGAGAACGGATAGCAATAGGTCACCTGAGTGACTCAGGTGACCTAAAAAGGTATCATTTCTAGATTGTTATTGTAAAACCCAGTACCTGTGGAATATTATTTTCTATTTACATATTGTATTACAGTAAAACAGGGTGTTTAGCTACAGCTGACTAGGTTGTACACTAATGGTGGTCTACACCGACGTCCTCGCTCCAAACTCTGAGTATTCTCTATTTATGGTTATAATTAATAGTTTAAATTTGTCATCCGTTAGTAATTAGCTAACTCTTTAAAGTGGATAAAAGTACATCTATGTAACTAAAACATTTTGTATCTAGAGCAGCTTTTGCATTTATCATTTAATTATTGATGTGTAATTAGCACTATAAATTAAATATTATATTACAGTAATAATGTACAACATTGAGCAATTGGATCAGATAAATTAAAAAAAAAAAAATCAAATATAATTTACAACAACTAATATCTACAGTTTTGAAATATTAAAATTTCCAAGTTTTGAGGACATTTTTTTTAAGTTGTTCAAAATTTGATTCTAATATACACAGACATGCACCTTTTCAATATACATATTTTTATGTTTAGTGCACTGACATAAAGTCATGGTGTTTTGAAAGATCTCATGTAACATATAACTGTTAAATAAATATCAAATGAGCACCATTGATTAATTAAAAACAATGATATATATACCAATTAAGGAATGTTTGAAAAATATACATTGTACATACAAAGAAATCATTTTAAACAAGATAAAACAAAATATCACAAACAGATGTTTTTTTGAGTGACAATATTGTGAGTGAATGGTAGAACATTTAACGTTAAACATATCTAAATCTTAATTACCGTAAATGTAAAATAACAAATAATAAAAAAAAGTTACAAAAATATGAAATATATAGAAAAGTATCAAAACAGGAAGTGCAATACTCAATAAAAATGGTATTTTTTTTGTAGAGTACTTCTTTTACTTTAATTGTCATATAACATATATATTTTACTTTGTTGTATGACATGTAGGTCTACAGCAGATGTAAATTTTGCTGTAAAAAAATAAAATTTTTAAAAATGATGGAAAAGCAGAGTGCAGTGTATGGATAGATATATAGTCAAATCTCATTATCTTGAACTCGATGGGACTGAGAAATAACCTCAAGATATCAAAGGATTCCAGATATCAAGGGTAAAATACTTAAAGAATAAGTGGTTGGGACTTCCAAATCACTTTGACTTATCCATGGTATTTGAGATATCAGTGTTCAAGATACCGAAGTTCAACTGTATACAGCCACTTTCATTTCAAATTTAACAAATTACTCCAATGAGCTCATTTTATATTATGATGCAATAGAAAAACATGTAAAGTGAGACAATATATCCTATCATCTGAATAAACAATTGAAAAAATTGTATTTTAAAATGAATCAGACATGAACATTTATAAATGCTCAATATGTAAAACTGTGGAAGATATATGTAACAGAACAGTAATGAAATGAAAAAAATAAATTATACAATGCGTAAAAATCCTTATTAGAAACTACATGTAGATTGAATTTATCATTCATGAAAAATTGGACAGTTGAAAGTCCAGAATTTCTTTGCTGCATTTTCTTCATTTATACATCTATATCTGACCTAAATTTGGACAGAAAAAATTTATTACACATTTTCACTGAAAAAGTACAAATCAGTTTTTGAATGACCTTGGTCATTCATCAAATTCATTGAGCTGTGATGGAATTAACAGGTCATTTTATTTCACTTTTTAAAATACCTTATTGCACATTAGATGACTTTACCTGTCCCTAATGACCACTCTTGCTGAGCTGCCAACAGGTATGTTCTCATTGTAATCCCCGGGATCTCTATGTCCAGATTCCACATATTCTCTATCTCCTGATATGTCCTCCACTAAAACAGAAACAGGTCAACATCAGACTTATGCATTACTTAAGAAATGTAACAGGAAAAAACTAAAATTTGAACATCAAATGATTTCCAATGAGCATTTAAAAAAAAACTTGAACCCATGTCCAGGATCTCCAGTAAACTGGGCACTTGAACAAAATTTAACCTTAACCTAGGACCTCCAGTAAATTGAGCACCATAACAAAAACTTGAAACGATCTCCAGTAAACTGAAACACATAACAAAACCATGAACTTAGAATCTCGAGAAAACTGAACACTGAAACACATTGAACCCAGGATCTCCAATAAAATGGGACATAATAAAATCTCCAGTATACTGACAAATATAAAAAAAAACCTTGAACCCAAGATCTCAAGAAAACTGAGCCCATAAACACAACCTTGAACCCAGGATCTCCAGTAAACTGAGCAACTTACTACAACCTTGAAACTAAACATCAAAACCTTGAACCCAGGATCTCTAGTAAATTATACAGGTGCTCTTAGGTGAGCTATTCAAGCTAACGGAATCCCTGTAAATCAAGCTGAAGCTCCATTTTTTTTCGCTGGTAAAAAAGTAAACTCTTTCCATGAATTTCAGTGTCACTGACTGGTGTGTAATAAATCAATTACCTGAATTTCTCCTGGTTCTCTTCTTCTTTCTTTTCTTCAATTTCTTCACAGGGGTGGTCACAATATATTCCCTTGATCTGAATAAAATATAAAATGAATATAAACAAGAACTGTTTGAAGTCTTAAGAATCAGACAATTTAAACTTTGCAGATTTAAATACTCACTCATAATCCCTGTCATATGCCCTGTTGTCAGAGCCTCCATCCTGGTATTCATAATACGTGACCTCCCGTGGTCTCTCTATGATGATGTCTGTAGCTGTAGTAGCAGAGGGGGGAGACCTGATACACAAGTAAATAAATTATAATGAAGCATGTTGTAAAGAATATCCTTCTTGTGCTTAAATGAAAGCAAAGCAGTTATATAAAACCTGATAATGCCACAGACAGCCAAAAAATAATGTGTATGTGAAATACGGTGCTCTTAGACTCAAAGCAGACCAAGGGAAAATGCCTTATGTGCGGCTGGGTACTAATATATGTCTATATAGCTACATGCCCAAACAAGATTACAAATCACAGACTCTCATATGAATTAAAAAAAAAACTAACATGTTTATATGCAGTAAAACTTGGTTATAAAGAATTTGCTTATAAGGAAATCTCAGTTATAAGGAATCCCACAGAAGACTTTTCATTACTGGTATATTATTTATACAGATATAAAGTATCTCTGTTATGAAGAAAGCAAGGTTTAAGGTCCTAGTGAATTCCTTGTAAACCAGTTTAACTGCATCTATCTTGATATTGAATTGATCCAGACATGTCTGTGTGATCTAGACTGAACTGTAAGTGACACCTGTATGATCTATACTGACCTGTACATGACACCTGTATTATCTAGACTGACCTGTGACATGTCTGTGTGATCTAGACTGACCTGTAAGTGACACATCAGTGTGATCTAGACTGACCTGTAAGTGACATGTCTGTATGATCTAGATTAAATTGTAAGTTACACATCTGTATGATCTAGTCTGACCTGAAAGTGACATCTGTGTGATCTAGACTGACCTGTAGGTGACATATCTGTGTGATCTAGACTGAACTGTAAGTAGTACCTCTGTGTGATCTAGACTGACCTGTAGGTGACATATCTGTGTGATCTAGACTGACCTGTAAGTAGTACCTCTGTGTGATCTAGACTGACCTGTAAGTAGTACCTCTGTGTGATCTAGACTGACCTGTAAGTAGTACCTCTGTGTGATCTAGACTGACCTGTAAGTTACACATCTATGTAATCTAGACTAAACTGTAAGTTACACATCTGTATGATCTAGTCTGACCTGTAAGTGACACCTGTGTGATCTAGTAAGTGACATGTCTGGGTGATCTAGATTGACCTGTAAGTGACACATCAGTGTGATCTAGACTGGCCTGTAAGTGACACGTCTGTGTGATCTAGACTTACCTATAAGTGACACGTCTGTGTGGTTCTTGTTTTGGTACATCTCCCCAGTCCTGATCTGCATACACAACATCTCTATGATTTTCTTCCTCTAGTGATCTATCATGTTATAAGGTCAAAATACACATAAAAGTATACAGAAATCAGTCATGTATTTACTACCATGAATCATCCTCGCAAGCCAGGGGTCCTGCGTCAACACACTGCCGTTAGACCCCTGGCATATTTCATTCAATAATCGTGGGCTTGCTTCTCTCATTGAGAAGCACCAATCAAATTAAAGCTTTCATAAATAGTTAGATAAGGATTCAGTTGACACCTCAAATGCACGTGTTACAAGTTGTTTATCATAGAATGGCTTAATGTGATTGGTTGAGAGATAAGAAAAACAATCAAGATTTGTAATTTTTCCAAAAGACGTCGCTACAGTCACCCCACAAACATTGAATGAAATATGCCAACGTGTTGACTCAGGACCCCTGGCTTGCGAGGATGACCATGAATATACAGTTAATATTTTTTATCTGACTTACCTTTGCAAATTGTCAAGAGCCTCTTCCATTTTATACCTTTTCTGCAAAACATGAAGCAAAATGTAAAGAAGCAAGCATTTGCATACTGTGAGAAACAATACAAGAAAAAAAATACCTGGAAATATCTCTTCAAAATCTCTAGGATTTGAGCATAGGGTATTATCTTACAGTATTTGGGTTAATACTGGAATTTTTTTAATCTGTTTAGGGGTCAATACACTGACAGCATTTGCATGTACTCCTATGCAAGAAAAAAATATTCTATGTACCACAAAACCCATTTTAATCAAATTCAATTTTTTAAAATGTTTCCATATAACTATGCCCTAATGCCTCATAAGTATGAAAGTATAACCACATTTGCAACATTTTTTTCATAGATGAACCTACTGAAGAGCAAAAATGTTCATTTCTGTATAAACTTTCTAATAGAAGAGGTCATGACATGATGTAGGTCACAGCTTGACTCAGTGTACAGATTACAGTTCAACTTTATATTTCAATTTTTGCCTCAAATGTAAAAATAAGTAATCAATAACGATGTTAAAAAGTTCACTGGCAAATGGACTTAGATGGCAATCGAATCTACCGAGAAGCCCTTTGAGATTCACAGGACTTGAACAAATATTCCTAAACAAGTTCATTTCCCTGTGAACTTTTTAACATTGTTATTCATTTCTGAAATGTATTACATTCTTGAAAAGAAGTTTCAATATGCTTCAAAAAAAATGTGCGGCAATACAGGTACATGGAATTCAACTCCAGCAAAATCATTACAAAGTGATTCAGCAACACATTTATTAACTTCTGTAATGTGAGTATGTGTGATAGAAATATCACTGTACATGTGTGATTAATGACATTTGTTTATGTGCATGCAGGTTTCTCTGGAAAAGTTGTGGGTTCCAGAACTTTCCAAAAGTATGTATCCAAAAATAAATTATATATACATGTATCGGTGCAAAGTAATGGTGATAGTTGTCTGGGAAATGTAGCTCATTACTCGTGCATAACTTGGTTCTAGAAAAGATTAAGTATAAGCTGTGAATGATACCTTACATTAGAAACAATTTATTGGAATCTTTGGCCCAGGTGAGCTAATGAAAGTGAAGGGAAAGACACAGACTGACATCTCTTGTCATGGCATAAAATGAAATGTTTAAGCTTAGAAAGTTAGACATTACATGTCACATGCGTAAATCTTTTCATAAACTGCAGTGAAGGTGGAATTTTGTAAAATATGAACTGCATAATTGAACATGCATCATCAATTTGTTTCATATAACATCAACTTTTTGCCATAGTTACCATTTTCATTTTCCCAAGAAAGCATTAAAGCAGGCAAAATGGCAATATTATAGCTCTACTGTTTAGTAGAAATATTTCTACTAAGATTTATATGCTTAATTATGATTTTCAAATATCAAATGGAATAGCACATTTAGAAGAGCTCAGTATTTTAGCAAATGCATGACTAAAACTGAAAAACTTAACATTTAAAAGAATCTCACTAGATAACATCTGATATAATGAATATCATATCAAAAAGCACATTGAGAGAAATTAAATCCCCTTTCTTCCATTAAAGCTTTCATCAGCAAGCCTTGTGTTTTAATTAACAGTTAGATTGAGAAACCTGAGTCTGAGAAAATGGAACTTGTACATATATCATTACTGGTGATCACTTTGTATATTCATTCAATGCACACAATATATCATTTGTAATTAATTATTATATTCACTTATTCTACTGAACAGAGGAATAAAAAAAAAATTCAAAAAAAAAAAAAATATCAAATAAAAAAAATAAGAATTCAATGTATACAGGGAACATTAATTCAGGAAATGAATTAAAGCTCCTGTACTTCCTGATGAATGAAAACTCATAATTATAACAATTAGTAATCATGCAAGGATACATCTCTATTCAATTTTTTTTTTAATTTAATTTTCTATACTAATATTAAATAAGAATTAGACATGGAAAAAAAAAATAAAAAGAATAAAAAAAAAAAAGAATAAAAAATTGAGAGAGAATGGAAACAGTATTCTCCAGAAATATTTTCCTGCAATAATGTGTGTGTTGGCAATGTAACTTTGACAGGCTTAGAGAGAGATGCATTTTACCTTAAAAACCAATGTAAAATATTTAAAGTTTATAACATCAATACACAAATAAATGATTCCACGTGTCAGGTTTTAAATCTATTGAAAATTATTGGTTTCCTGATAAATCATCTTGTAAGCACTTTAAATAAATTTACACATTGTTAGACGTGATGATTTTTAGGTGAAACAATGAAATACATGTACAGTATATCAAAATTACGATAGCCGACAGCGGCCACCACTTTCCGATTAACAGATTAAGGATATTGTCATTTTGTATAGCGCTTTGTCAATTTTCATTGACAGATTACAACTAAACCGCTAATGCTATATGTACATGTACAATTTTTACACTGACAATTTCCACCGGAGAAAATCATTAAAATTCCTTCAAGTGATATGAAATGTAGATACAATGTACATAAAACGGGTTACTCGAAAGTGGTAAGCTTAAGGTTCTAGCAGAATTGCAAAATCGGGATAATTCTAGATTAGTATTGTCTTCCAGATATGCTTTCTTGTCAGATTGTATTAATTAATTTTGGTGTACGTGCTGGTCACATCATAGGTTAGATCCAGGATGAAATTTTTTGGGTGTATTAGAAATTCGATTTTTGTATATAATCAGACGTGTCTTTGATGTATGAAGTTTGATTTTTAACAATGCGCACAAGATAAGTCATCATAGTAGTAACCTACATTTTCCTTTGTCGTGCCACATTGAAAAATAATTGGCCGACCAGGTGGAAATCTTGGGGCAGCGTTGGCCTTTCAAACGTGTTTCAAGTACTGATTATTAATTTTATATACATTGTATTTAGGGGAGCAAATATAGTCCCCATTAAGGCTGTCATTTTATTCTTGCTTAAAAAGTGTATATTTCCGTGTCTTGAGTTCGATCTGTTTTTTGATACATTCCAAAAACTTTAGAAAGGATGCTGTCATGTAGAGCTACTTATGATTTTGTTTTTCTACTTCTCGAGCAGTCTCAAGCACTCTTAGATAGTATATTGATGTTTATCCATTACAACAAACATGTACTTTTATCCGCCTTTTTAATTACAATCCCAAGAATATTTTTTTAATGATACAACAAGAAAGAAAGTTTCAAAATGACAATTTTAGTCTAGCATCTAGGGTTAACAGGGTTACGATATCTCATACAGGCAAATTAAGAGTGAAAATCATCAAAATGCCTCTTATCTCTTTCAAGTCACCTGTTTTATGTATCTCAATTTCATATCACACGGAAGAATTTTAATGTTTTTCGCTGGTGGAAATTGTCGGTGTAAAAATTGTACATGTACATATAGCATTAGCGGCTTAGTTGTAATTTGGCAACGAAAATTGACAAAGCGCTGTACAAAATGACAATATCCTTAATCGGAAAGTGGCGGCCGCTGTCAGCCATCGTACAAAATTTCTCCTTGGTCAAAATTAAGAAAAAGATCTTGAGGGTGCCATATGTGTTTTGTAGACTGCACAGAATTGAGCAGGGAAAATGGAATTTGAGTAAAAGTTTTTAAAAAGTATTACATTTATATACCCAATTATTTTCAACTTAAATATCAACACATGCATGTACATGTATTGCATGTATAATCTTATATATGCAGAAGTTTTATTGAAAAAAAAAAATCCCCCCATGCATGACATGCATTTTGTAGCACCAGTACACTATAGGCTGGTGATGATATTAGTCTGCAAATCTATGCTTGCATGTTTATCTCTCAGGCTGCCAAAATTACCATAAAATTGTATTATGTGCAAACACACAAAAAATAAATTTTTGCTTTGGCTAGGCACAATAATTTTCATGGAAACCCACAGTCATAAAGGCCAGGAATATGTCTGGTCGTGGTTTTACAATAAAGATTTAACACCAGGCTGTGCTGATTAGAAGAGCTGACATTAGTCACATGACCACAAGGATATATTCAAGACATACAGAAAATTTGTGGAGGAGTAAAGCAAGATATGAATTTGAAATAAAATAATATTAACATCTCTACTCTGTAGGTGCATTTTCTGAAATATAAATGAGAAACAGCTTTCAGGCACCTTTTCATATGAATGAAATATAATTTTTTTTTTAACTTGCCAACATATTTTTTTTTCAAAATAAGAAAATATGTGACATAATATGTGGGTTACCAGAAGAAAGCCTTTAAGCATCAAAATGCAGAGAGGTTTTATTTCTTACTTCAAATTGATAAGTTTAGCTGCCAGAGTTGAACAGCTGGAGGTCATTACCTTTCTCTTCTTTAATTCGATGTCTGCTGGAGTATCAGGTACAATATACGCAAATACAAACATGATAACCAAAGCGATGTGCTGGAAAAAAATTGTTACCCGGCCATTATATATCACATACAAGATCATTTAATTGTGAAGAAGACCTAAAAGAAAGGTTTTTTCCCCTTTTTTAACATCATATATTTCAATTTTGATGGTCAATGAAATGCTTCATTACTATTTCTTTTTCCATTTCCATCAAAAAGTTAACATATACAAGAGAAAATTATTGACTTTTTTAATATTGGGGAGTATAGACAAATCAAACTTTTTTCCTTTAAAAATGCCACAAATTTATTTTGCATGTGTTTCTTTTTCCTTCTTTACCTCAAACCCAATAACAATCCAGAGTTGTCCTGTCGTGGAGAAGGAATTCCCCCAAGTAGAAGTGAATGCCACAAGGAAACCATTAGAGACCACACCACAAAAGTTCATAAAACTCAGGATTGTGTACCAAGTACCTGCAACGTAAAAAATGTACCAGTAATGTGAGAGTGATGACATTTGAGTTGTCCTATGCTCTACTGATGTAACTTTGTTCATACTGACCATACTATTAAGACTTAAAACAAGCAAATTTGCAAATACATGAAAATTATATACATCCTTGCCTAACCATTGAGTTCAACAACATTTTTTATTTGGTTTTAATTCGATTTGAGCAATAAATTTTCAATGAATGTAGAATTTTTCCATTAGTTAAATAGCTAGTCATAAAATAAGTCAAAAAGCAAAACCTTCAATAGTAAGTGGCAAGGTCAAGATCAGATATGAGCAACTGGCACCATGATTGAAAGAGATTGCCCTTAATTCTCATGATGTACCTAGCTATGTCTACTTACTGAGGGCAAAATAGACATAATACAAACTAGAGATATGTCCATTTTAAATTTTATTCATAAACAGAACTGAATGAATTGCTCTTACAAATATGTATCCCAGTACATGTATATGAAGTTTGATTAACAATATTCAAAAGTGAAATTCAAGTTCATGGGAAGGTCAAAGTCATGAGTAAGGTCAAGGTCTAAACTGTGCTAAATGCAAAACAATTAATAGAAGGTCAAGGACATATGGAAAGTCAAGGCCAGAAAACTTTGATACAGTTGATTAGCTCTTATTAATTTGTATCTTTGTATTTAAGTTTGATGAAAATATCTTGAACATTTCTTTGATACTAAGATAAATGCAAACCAGGAAACGTTGGGTCAAGGTCATGGGAAGTGACAAGGTCAGAAAATTATAACATAGTTAAATAGCTCTTATAAATTTGTGTCTTTGTAAACACCCTCCTCAGTTTCTTTGGAACTAATATTATGCAAAATGAGGAATAATGGGATCAAGTTCATAAAGAAGTTAAGGGTCAGAAAATTATGACACATTTAATAGTTCCCACCAATATGTATCAGTGTGAGTTTTGATGAAAAGCATTATGAACAATTTCTTCTAAACTGTGCTAAATGCAGAATAATTAATAGTGAGATCAAAGTCAATGGGCAAGTTAAGGTAAAAAAATCTGACACAGCTGAATAGCTCTCATCAATTTCTATCGTTGCACGAACTGAGAAAAATATAATGAACTACTTCTTTGAAACCAAGTTAAATGCAAAATGAGGAAAAGTGGGGTCAAGGTCACTGAAAAGGTCAGGGTCAAAAAATTATGACACAGTTAAAAATAACCAAAAGAATGGGACTCTATACACAAACACTATACACCTACCCATATTCATGGCATCATAAAAAAAATAACCAAAAGAACGGAACTCTATACACAAACACTATACGCCTGCCCATATTCATGGCATCATAAAAAAATAATAAAAAAGGGACTCTGTACACAAGTTTTGTAATACCTAGCAACATTTTTTGTTTGCTTTCTCATGCCTCAGAAAGAAAAACCAAAATTCAGCAAGAAGAAAATAACATTTTCCATACCTATGTCTTGAGCCATGTAGGCTATGGGTCGTTTATAAATCCACAGTAATCTCCATGCATCTATCCTGATGTCTAAAGCTCCGGTAATGAGGGCCATCAAAGGAGCCAATGGGAAAGAGGCAGCAAATAACTGAAATTGTCAACCTAATGTTTTCAATATATCTAGGAGCATGCTATGTCACATGTAACTGAAGAAAAATTAAACTATGTTATCATAAAATAAGACATGTTTGTGAACTAACCATAGCCTTTGACATTTTGGTAAAAGATTGAATATGATTCTCTTATACTGACATTCATTAGGCAAACTATGAAGACTTCATTTCGGAGAGTTTGAAATTGATAGCCATGGTTTAAGTTTAGGGAAAATTGACAAACTGATTAAAATATTCCATCCTCCATGCTCAGGGTGTACAAATATACAAGCATTGTCACTTATTCACTTGTTTTCTGTAAATCTTAATGGGACACAAAATCAGTGTTTCATAATTTTTTTATCTAAATTTACCATAAGGAAGCCAAATATGATGATTTTTTCTGTGTATTCCCCCAGCGTAAAGTCCCCCAGATTCTCCTTTTTAACATGTTTCTCTAGGAATGTCTCCTCTCGCTTGCTTTTCTGTGGCTCCTCCCCACCAAAGCATCGGCAGCACCAGGAGGGTCTCTTTCTCCACCACTTCTTTAGAGCACTGATAAAAGACGGGATTCACATAAAAAAAAAAAAACATTTCTGGTAAGCCATATCTACGCTAATTTAGAGCTGACATTCATCAGTGTACAAGCACATGTAAAAGATGAGTTCTGATCACATGGACAACTGAATTATTAGAAAGAATGCCATTTGCACACAACTTAGGGAGCAATTTTGTTATAATATTTTGATAAAGGCGTATGATTCATATGCATCTGTACATAACTTAAGACTGGTGATCATTAATTGAAGTCTTAAGGTCTAATGGCATCTGTACATATATAAGCATACAAATTGTTTTTTTTGGATCATATATATTGAAGAATGAAGACTTACGGTAGAATGGCATCTGTGCATAACTTGGGCAGTGGTTTTGTAACCATTAATGTAAGGACTTGGAAGGATAACTGAGACATACAGGTCCCCTCACACTGGTCCTGGAACTGTGGTCCAAGTCCCACAAGTCCATCAGCATCAAAGCGCTGCAGAATATTATAGATACTCAGCAAATGTATGGAAATTCAAAACTTGTAAGAAAGTCATTAGGATGCATCATTGTTACTAAAAATACTGATTAGGGCATGAAAAAATGCTTCTGCAATGAATTAATTTAAACTTACCCCTCTGAAGAAAGCAATGTAAAAGCAGGAGGAATAGTTATTTACAAATTGGAAGGCAAACAGTTTCATGATTAAGGAATCATCATATTTTGTCTGTGTTCTGTGGTTTTCTGAAGAAAAAAAATTGATAAAATATTTGCATAATATACAGTTTAAATACATTAGGTCAATTAATGTTCAAAGACTTGTGGGAGAAACTTGTTTTCAAACAAAAACATTAAACTGTACTCTCCTCTAGCCTTAGTAAAGCAACAATTATAATATCATTTTATCATGTTATTTAACATTAATAAAATCTAATAGTAGATTTATGAAGCCTCCCAGAGCAGTTTAAATTTTCATGCAAATTCATTCCAAAACTTTATCAGAATTCTGATCAAATTTTTAGTGTTATTATTTCCTCTCTCCATATAAACTTTGTTTGATTTTTTAGTTTCTTTGTTTATTTTTGCAAGGAATTAGTAATCGATCTGAAAACTATGCACTTAGAAGAATTCATACAAGATATCTTCATGACATCCTAAAATATTTGCCATTACCTCTCATCCTCAAATACAATTATGTAAATGAATTATATTGCCTTACCCCAGTCTGTTAACTTCACAGCCAAAAAGTCATAAAACTAAAAAAAATAAAAAAATTAGTAGCTAGTAAGTATTCTTCAAAGGATAAATCTTTCTACTTGGCATATTGGAAGACAACATTTTGGATACTGGTACTTGGAAGCATCTATTACCTGCTTAATTAAAATTCTAAACTTATACTAACCTTTCCAAGTACAAAAATAGAAAGTGCATTGAGTAAGGAGGAGACAACTGTGGTACTCAATAGACATTCCTCAGCACTGACACCCGGACAATAGTCCACAGTAACAAGTACACGATAAATGATGACACCCATCACACTTGCCATGACAACCAACACCATAAACAACAATGTGACACCTGAGGTAATGTACTTCATAAACTGGTATTTCACTGGATATTTTAGGATCTTAAAACCATCCACAGGGTTCTAAAAAAATGTCAAATTATGAAGTAAACAATTACTGGTAGACTTCAAACACAGAATAAAATTCTATGAAATTAAATTTCTAAACTGCTGAAAGAATTTTCTCTAAGGAATTTTTCCTACTGTCTCTGTTGTGGTTCCATAAAATTCAGGTCGATCAGGCTCATTAACTTCATATTCTGTAACATCCCACAAAAATGCCAATCTCTTCTCCTTTCGCTTCCAAAATTCCAAAAATATAGTGCCTAAAAATAATATATCATTTTTTACCAGGACATATATAATATAGTAATAATGATTGATTGATTGATTGATATTGTTTAACGCTGAGTCGGCAATATTTCAGCCATATATCGGAGGTTAATATAGTAATAAAAGTAAAGTATAAAGTTAATGAGTGAGTAAAATTTAAAAGCTTTGAAACAGTTTTATTCATGGAACCTAGCTGTAGCTTACCCCAAATACAGATGACCATGGCAAAATATGGAGTGACCTCATTATCAAATGACTGCTTGATGGTATCCAGTAATCTGAGACAGAAGTAAGGTAAACATTGATCGACAAAATCTTGCAAGTAAAACAAAGAATCACAACAATCACACGGACAGATGACGAAGACCAACTGACCCCAAAAACATGTCCTCTTACCCAGTAACATTGCCATTGGGATTGGTGTTTTCATATTGCAGTCTTCTGTTGATGCTGAAACATATCAAGAGAATCTTTTTGCCCTTGTTTACCAATAGATATTTCCATTTTTTTTTCTTGGTATGAAATATTTTAAGCTTCCTGATTGAAACACAATATATCTGCAATATTTAGGTATGCATAAACAATATACATTCACCTATTATAATAAAAATAGATTTTATACTAAGTATATATTTCAGTATGTTTTTTTTTCCACCTTTTGACTAGTCCATAGATAAAAATGGCAAGTCCAAACAACATTGGGAGCCAAAGGGAGGTAATCAAGTGTCCACACCATGCAAAGTACAAGGCAATCTTCTCCCCAAAATAGTTCCTAATCCTCCATAAAGGTTGAAACTGAAAAGTAGTGCTGACATTAACTCAAGGAAAAGCATACAGTATTGCTGACTCAAAAAAAAGTTTGTTTATTAATATCAACCTCTTAGAGAACAAAATATTTCCAAATCAAAATTAAATCATCTGCATTATTTAAAAAATATGAAAACTTTCTGACTATTTGTAACTTCAATTCCTTTGAACATCATGCATGTAGCCTACAGGGATGTGTAAACAGGACATGACAGACCTACCTTGAACAGTTTTGTCCAGGACCTATTAAGCAGAGCGCGAGGATCATCTGCTAATTTCTCCGCTTCTTGGGGGTCTGGATCCCCCTCATCAGCTGAATCCTCATCGTTATTTTTCCCGACTTCTGATGCTTCATGAAGCACTACTGACTCCTTGTAAACTTTCTTCATTATCAAAAATGGAAGATCTATAAAAAGACAATCACAAAATATGAAAAACATATATCATATCTACATCTCTTATTCAGGATCAAAATCAGTCTGCTATTCAAATATAGAGGAATTTTGTCTAGGTTTTTTTAATTTGTTCAGATGGTAACTTATGGTACACTTGATTCTTACTGATTTTCTGAAGTTCCTGATCAGTGTTATCAGCATCACTTAACTCCCTCAGGGTTTTAGCTCTACCACAAGAACAGCAATTGTCTGAAAACGGAGTCAAGTACTACATAATACATGGACGATCTAAACAATTTCCTTGTTCATAAAATCAGCATGCTTGATTATACTCAATATTTTACAGAGTCAAAGAAGGTCCCTTGTGAGTGACATGCTCAGTAATATATTTTCAAAGACCAAAAAAAGAAATGTGTTCAGTATATCTTCAATTTTTGCTTTCCTTTAATTTTTTCCCCTTTATTTTTTATCAAATACCAGAGGAAAGACTTCTTAATTTTTGTAATTTTGGAACATTCCTCACCTTGACTGTCTTCCAGGGAATCGAAAACATGGTAGTCTTTCAAGTCCTTTGAAATGTCCAAATTAATAAGAATTTTGTGGACCTGTAAAAAGTGATTTAAAAAAAAAAAATTGGTATAATTATAATTACTCTAGCACAAAAATGCAGATCTTAAAGTTTCATGACTGATACATTCACAAAAAGAATTCTTACGAGGAATGAGCGTGTGGCAGGACGGAAGAATTTGGTTGGGTTGTTATAATTTTTATACATAGTGATTCTGTCCATGTCAAAAAGGCCTGTGTAGTCATCCTCTGGAAAAAGAAGAAGAAGAATATTCAAAGAAAATATAGAAACTTAAGGCAATATTAGTGATACCATAATGTCAGATGAAGAGTCCTCGTTAATGCTCCGTATGCCAAAGGTGTTACAGGCATTCAGAGATGGAAGTTAATTATAGAAACATTTGGAACAGGTTGAGTTAAAATTTTTAAAAAGTAAACCGGTTATCAGAAGCAATATTTATCACAGAAAAACAACAATTATTATTAGGCTATAGAAATAAACTGGAAAAGGATTAAAGAGTAGTTAAAACGGGTGTATATAACAAACCTGTTTCATCATCAAAGAAGTACTCGTTGATAAAATTTTCCAACCACGTACAACAGCCTTTGACTTCAGGGTTCTCATCTGGAGGCTAGAAATATACAAATTTATATTCTAGTTGTGTTTAAATTTTAAAATATTATTCACAATGTGAAAAAACCCTGATTTTTCAAACTACTGGTTTTTGCCTGCTACCCATACAACAATACTTAAGAAGAAATAAGAGAGATGAATATTTAAATTTTTACATATTAAACAAATGTCCAACATGTAATAAGGATTGTCATTTTGTACATTATTTATTTGAGAGCAAAGCACAAAAAACATCACATGTGACAGTGTCATTGGGAAAAGGAGGTTTAGATATATACCTTTTTTTCTTTTCTTAGCAAAATATCTAATGAATTTAGAAACTCTCACATAAAAAGATAAAATAATGTTTGCTAAAATTTTACTCCTTGCTTTCTAAGAATATGTCAGCTATATTTTAATAAACAATTATCTAGATAAGTCCTTGGTATCCTTTGAAATAAAATAAATTCATTTGATGATCTAATGAGTCAATCATTAATGTGTCGACTCATTTTAATGACACGCATATATACATGAACTAGATATACAAGCATTTGCAGACTATCAGAGGTCATGAATGATAGCCATGTTAGAATTTTGATTGCTATAAATTTTTATTAGCCATTTGTGCCCAAGTTGGTGACATGACATGCAGCCATTCTGGTGAAAACCTAAAAGTGTCAGGCAGACAGCAAACCAAGACACAAAAAATTGACCAGTACGTGATTTTCACATAAATTTTCAAAGCTATACTCAGTACCTTTGGGTTTATCATTTGGGACAACTTATACTGTAATTAAACGGTTAAGTATTTGATTCAGGTGAGCTACATACAAAAATTCATTTCTTGCATCCATTGCAGAAATTTGTTTCTCTACGTATACATGTATGCATGAAACCCTGCTAGAAAATGATCTACATAAATCATAGACTTCCATTGATATTACTGTACTTTGTTAATATTCCCAACAGAAAAAAAATTTTAAAGGCCTTTTAATAACACCAATAAATTTCTCCAACTAAGTACACAGACTAAGTAATGGTAAATATTTAATTTATTTGTCATTTAAATTATACCACGGATGTATACATGATGATGTACGTCGCTTGGTAATTTAAATTTCAAGGGTAAATTGAGATACAGAAAAGTCCCAATTCAATTTCAAAAATTTAGAAATTGACCTTTCAGAGACCAGTTTTCTTGTTCATGTGTATTTCTAGTAATTTTAATAAACTTCAATCATGGGTAACGCTCTCTGTATGTACGAATCTGAGATAATATCCCCATGAATGTATTAGTTCACTATCCTAAATGTTTTTTAATATGTATATGACGTATCTTTTATAAATTTGATTTAGCTTTTTAAAATCTACTCCAAGGAATTCTGTAAAATTTGGATTTTTTTTTAAAATGAAATCAACTGAAATTTGACTAGATAGATGAACAATCAATTTGTCTCGTTTTATTGACTTTTTTCAATGATCGTCTTTTATATTCATTTTTAAATACTATTTACTAAAACCCTTTAAAGCATGAAAAATTGTCTTCCATTCATATTTTCCGACTCTCCAAAATAAGTAACTTATACATAATTAAAAGTGTGGGAAGAAACAAAACAGACAGACATTTAATTCCTCGAAGACCATCACGGAAAAGCAAATCAACATCAAAACATAACAAAATGAAACAGTTTGTGACCAATAATTAGATCTTAATTATCTCAAGCACTGTGAAGACTTACCACAAATTAAATGCTATAATTTTTGCAAGACCTAAAATATAATATCTGAAAAATGTTTTGTTAAATGCTGAAATTTTACAATAAAATTTGATTTGAAAATGTACCCTTTGTAAAGTGTCAACATATACTGTACACAGGGAAATTTTCGCCCCCATTTTATTTTCACCTCTTTCGCCCTTCTCACAGGTGGGCAAATTTAAAACGGGGTGAATTCAAAGAAGATAGTATAATTTCTTAAACAGAACTGCAATTGGGCGAATTTAAAATGGGGCAAAATTGTTTTCAAGTGTGAAAGGGCGAAAATAAGATGGGGCAAAAATAACCCTGTATACAGTACTTGTATGGTGAACAGTAAACTAGGATTGGATGATACATGTTTTACATATATCAACCACTTACTTTTGATACTTCACAGCAAACTGAGCTATTTTAATATATTTACATGTACATGTAATATGATGTAAAATTTTATATTTTAATAAAGATATCATGTATTTACCTCATTCAGTGGCATTTCTAGATTAACAAACTGAGCAATTTCGCAGAGACTCTTGAATGGACAATGCAAAAGTTTGTAATCCAGTTTCCCAATGGTTTCTTTTTTGATAACAAACCGATATCTCCTTCGGAGTTTGTCCTCAAAACACTTGCGAATCTGTCTGGAAGCCTCATCACTAATATCATCTCTGTCATGGATCAGGACCATGTCTATTCGCTGTTTTTCTGGCTGATAATCTGGCCTCATTTGTGCCTCCTTCATGGCTTGATCAAATAATCGAAAATCTGGCTCAACATCATAATCCTGTTTTTCTTTCATGCTTTTCTTAGTCTTTTTGCTGAATGGCTTTTTGACAGATTTTAAAATTTTGCTCTTCTTTATCTTTTCCATGTTTTTTCTTCAGAATATTATGTTGAACAGATGACTCTGCAGACTTCAACTGCTAAAACATAAAAAATTATTATCAATTTGAATTTTTATAAAATAATGAAGAAGACAACACTGGAACTGTTTAGCTTAATTATTATATACAAACTAATAAATCAAACCACTGGTTTTTTTTTGTAAGTTTTTTTTTAAAATGTAATTGTTTTAGTCTTTTTTTTTTTTAAATTACCAGGTAAGTAGAAGAGTGTAATACCCTGGTAGGTAGGAAGAATGCAACAAATCAGATTACAGTATTAAAGTAATCAATAAAATGCCTTTGTAATGGCAGATTGACCCCCCCCCCCCTTTACTCCTGTAAGAAATGTGAGGTAGTTTGACCTTGTTAGATTCCAAGTAGAGCCATTTAAAAGAATAGAAAGGAAAGCAGCTTTGGTCCATTTTCCCCTCCTGCAACACCACTACCACCATGACATGGGTTTTGTTTATTTCTTCATTTATTTGTTTGTATGCCTGTTTTTGGCTTGTCAAAAAAATTCTGAGTAAAATTCTTTTTCTTTTAATTTTATTTATTGAGTGGGTGTGCCCTCCACCCACCCCACCCCCACACCTATAGGATCTAGAGAGAAAAATTCCTTGATCCGCCCTTGAAAGTACTTTTGCTGGAAGAACATGAAAATCCTCTAAAGCAGTTATGATACTATGATGTCTAGATATTGTCAACACTGCAAAAAAAATATATTATGACTATGAAGGATTTAAATGATTTCTCAGCAGGCACCTGAATTTCAGGTTTCTCTAACAATCAATAATTTTAAATGCTACAAGGCCAAAGCAAACAAAACTGCATTTTATTTGATCAAAATGATACCTGCCTTAACGACTGCAAGGAGCTCTCAATATTTTCACGCGCTCATTCCTTTGCAAAGGCTTTCAAAAAAAGCCGACAAGGCCGCTTTGTAAAACTTTGTTTATCAGTTGCCACGATGAAGGGGGCATAACTCTCCAAAGCGGAAATTGTGCTCTAAAAGGTAAACAGTTTCGGTGACTGGTGTTGAATATAAATCATGGAATGAATAAACGAAAAAAATAAATAAAATTAGTGAAACGAGAATATATCTTTTCAAATAAATTTCTCAAGATAATTTCGAAAATTGCATTTATTTTAGAAGGCTATTTGTGCCGGAAATATGTTTTCTGTTTAAAAAGTGTTTCTACGAGCGCCACCTATCCTAAATATTATTCAAAATGGTGGAGAAAATTCTGACGAAGACGACGAATGGGTTATAAATATATTTTCGTTTAGATAATCACTACACCAAAATGTAAAATTCATACAGACAAGTATTCTACCTTACAATCAGTATTAAGTATGCCTGCTCCTAAGGTGATTGTTGACGAGACTGACGTCGTCAAATTGGTATCAGAATTTCTCCTCAATAGAGATCTGAATATCTCCATGCTTTCTCTAGAGCGAGAGACAGGCATTATCAATGGCGAATTTTCTGATGACATGCTGTTTCTGAGACAGCTTATTTTGGATGGCCAGTGGGACGATGTCATTGATTTTATTCAACCTCTTAGTTCCATAGAAACCTTTAATTACACCAGATTTCAGTATATCATAATGAAACACAAGTACCTTGAACTTTTATGCATCAAGTCAGAGCCTAGTGTGATGCAGAATTATGATTTTACAGTTGAAGAAGTTGTTAAATGCTTAAACAGCTTGGAAAGTCTTTGTGTTTCTAAGGAAGATTACAACAATTTGTGTTTGCTCTTAACGATTCCAAAAATATCAGATCATCCAGAATATCAAAACTGGAATCCCAGTAATGCTCGAGTCAAGTGCTTCAGAGATGTGTCACCCCTGGTGGAGAAGTACCTGACTCCTATGGATAAATCAAAACACAACAATGAGACCGCTGAAGAAGATCGCCTACTTCAGCTGGTTCTGAAAGGAATGCTTTATGAATCCTGTGTCGAGTATTGCCAGCAACGAGCAACAAGTTCTGAGCCTTGTGATGAAATGACATTTCCCTCTCTCCTCACAAATTCTGGCTTTAGTGATGCTGACCTCAGTCTTATTTCTTGGTTACAGAACATACCCAATGAGACATTCTCGTGCCCCTTTGAGCAGAAATCTCTGAACTTTGACATTAAACAACTGATAAAGCCATCTCTGGAAGCATCATGGTCAGAGCAGATCCTGGTGACACCCATCAAACCTAAGCTGTTCCCACATTCAGCTGTTCCAAATCTTAGACCCAGGTCTGCTGATGTCATGACAAGATCTTTGAACCCACAATTTGATGGATTGAGCAGAGGGCTGTGGCAAGGAAGGAAGGATATGTCAGCCTCGATCAGTGGACCAAGTCTTTCACAATCAATATCTGTTGTGTCAGGTGTTGGTTTGAACGCTGCTAAAAAAGATCCAATGCAGATGTCAATGGATAAGCTATTTTCAGAGGGAGAGATGGTGAACACTCAAAGTTCAGTCGTATTTGAGGAAACTTCCCCAAGGCAGAAAGTTCAACAAGGAACACCCCAGAAGAATAAAAATCAAGAAGAGGAAGCTAAACCAAGCCCACCTGTAGCAACAATAGCTCCACAGGATAAAAATAAACCAAACCCAAAGGCTGAGGATGAAGTGAATGTGAACAGCTCAAACTCTGAGCTGTTGAAGGAGTTTCAGAGACAGAAACAGGTCTGTAGGGAACAGATTGAGATGTATGAACAACAGAGAGAGAAAATGATGAAAGAGTTAATGACGATCGAGAGCAAGAGTAGCATGATTGACAACAGGGAGGGGCCTGCTACAGAGGAACAAACAGGTATTTACTTTGAAATATATATTATTTAAATGAAAAAATTCAGTGTCAAAATGCCTTCCCAATGTTATTTTTTTTATGTTGATTATTAGGTAGATTTGTTGTTTGTTTACTGTAGACCAACTTCTCTTTTCAGCTACTTTGTTCACTGATTTATTATTTTAACTTACTTGCATCTACCTGCAACAATTTTCTTCCACAATTTTTCCATCTTATTTTAATAAGTTATTTTTACTTTCAAGATATAGAAAATGATGTTCTAGCTCTTTTATAGTTGAAAGTTGCTCTTGAAAAGAAAGTTGATTTACAATGATTGTTGTTTTATATTCTGATATATACCACATTATGATCTTACAAATGGTTAACTCTTCATCATATTTAGCAGAAGTCTAGTACATTCTTAGATTTGTATGCTAGATTGAAAGAACAGTGTATTATATATCAGCACAAGCACAGAAGGTGGAAGGGAATTCAACATATTATGAACCTGCTGAGACAGACTTCTTAATCAAATGAGAAGTTGTGAATTTGATCCATGTGAAGACCAGTGAAAGGACATGTTTTCAATTTTGTTGAAATTACTTTTTGTCATTTTATTTTGCAGTGTCCATTTACCCACAAAATACAGACTCTCATCACAAACAAAGAAATAATACACCATATGTAAATCCGACAAACAACCATAACTGTGCACCTGTCCAAAAAATATCAAATAATCCAGCAAATGTTATCAGTCAAAAGCCCCAAAATGTCACACCACCTCCTAATGAGACCCCTGTCACTAACCAAAACACAGACCCGGTAACCCCTATTTATCAGGCTGATAGCCTCGCTAACACCCCTACCTGTGACTTTACTGTTGGTGGTTATGAGCTGGGGTCAGAGAGGAGCATTCTGACACCATTAGGTATAGAGGAGGTTCCCACAGGGTTACAAAATCCTTCAGCAAGCTCAGTTCCTAGAGAGGCAGGTCCAGTTATAGATTCCTCAAAACAAACTGCAGGTAATTTTGTGCTATTTTTTTTTTAAATTATATACCATAACATCACTTGGTACTTATATAGTGTACTTTCACACTAACATTTTGATACGGTCTTCAGCTGTAGTGACTGGCCGTACCCCTAAAAACTCGGTCAAATCACTCAAAGCAAAAGAAACGCCCACTAATCCAGGTCGTTCTAAGACATCAGCTGTCAGAAAAAGCAGCAACTCCAGCTCAGTGGGTAGAGGAAAACAGCCAGAATCAAGGCCCATGGCTGTGCCAGGTCCAAAATCTGTGGGACGGGGCACTGCCACAAGGCCCACTACTCTTAACCCAGGAGGGTCCAGTAAATTAAAGAAGTCCCCTGTTTGCAGTAAAGGTGATTGCCTGATGCATGAGTAATGACATCTGATGCATATGAAGAATTGCTGATTGAATGTGATTTTAACATCAATGTCATCCTAAAAATTATTGCACAAATTGAGAGTTTTGAGAGCTCAACAACAAACTTGTATGTCATTTGCAATGCAGTTAACGAAATACTGGTACATGTATAGCAAGGTATTAACTGGACTATTGAAAGCAATGGACAATATCTTGCTTCAAAGTTTCCTAATACATTAAGGCTGTAACCCCATAAATTATAGATCTATACTCCAGATGTTTGTAATTACTTCTGCTAGCTTCTACAACAATGTACAGTAACATTGAGTATTTTGATTTGATAGGAATTTTAATTCCTCCCAGCCATTTACTTAATTACTAAGCATGAATATTTTACACCCATCAGAAGTGAATGCAACATTTCTCTTAACATGCTTTCAAATTAAAATTAAGGATATCTTTATTATATAAGTATTCTAGAATAGATTTTCAAAATGTAAGTAAATGAACTCCTGCTACATTTTAGAGCTTTTTAGTTCCAGCAAGTATTTTTTTTCCTTTTGTTTGAAATTTTCTGTTGTGACCTGTCTGTATGTTTACGTGTTTATAAATCAATGCATCCTTGCATGTGCTCTATGTTCTATGTTGACATGTATTTCCTTATATTTGTTGTTTGACAATATCAGTATCAGGACATAAGTAAAACCTTGGGGGGGGGGGGGGGGGGTAACTTGTTTGTGGTATAGGGGTCTGTTTGCATCTATAAAGAACACTAAAATGTTAAATTTTCTGAAAAAGGAGTAAAATATGGAAAAAAGATAGATTTTATATAAGTTTGATTTTTCTATCTCTGCCACTCTTCAACAACAGAGCCAGTAATTTACAATAGTCAATATCAGTATATTATTCTCTGGAGGAATATATAACTAAGATATAATAAGATTACTTGCATCAAGAAATAAAATCCTTTTTCTGTAAAGTATGACTTGTTTTGATTACAATATCATTTTGCTAGACAATAAACCAGCTGTCAGTGGAGGCATAGAAACTAAACCAGTGGGACCTGTCATATCACAGAGTCCCAAAAAGACACCTCGACCAGTCAGTCAGGCGGGTATTGTAAGTACAGTCATATAGCTTCATAAAGTCTAGGGAATTCTGCACAAAACTTAAGTCAGTTTTGGTACATTTATATGAATGATTTAAAATTCATGTATTAACTTATATGTAATTGTCTACAACATAAATAAGATCTAGTAAGTTAGCATATTTCTTTTAGAGTTGAAATATAGAAAAAATTAGAAAGTTGTTGTCAGTTTACAATATAAAGGGGAATCTTTTGTGGTATTTGTATGTAAAGTTTGCAATAACTGTATTAGATTGGAGATCAGAAGATGTCTAGTCCCAAGTTTGTCCCTATCTGTACCCTAGAGGACATTCAGGCCATTAGAACAGTTGCCTACCACCCATCTGGAACCATGTTTGCTGTGGGCTCTAACTCCAAAACTCTGAGAGTGTGTGCCTTCCCAGACGTCTCTAATCTGAGGTATGATAAAACCACAAAGTAAGAATGAGTAGCGTGATACTTCAATGTTATCTGTCCTATTAGACTCTTTGGGTCCTCTTTCTTAAGAAAGTTATTTTTCTTTAAGTGAGAATCACCAGACCTTTGAAACACAGACAATGTACCTCAAAAACAAACACCATAAGGGCTCAATCTACTGTGTAGCATGGAGTCCAATGGGGGACCTTCTAGCCACAGGCTCCAATGATAAAACCATCAAAATGTTCCAGTACAACATGGATATGAACTCACAAGGTACTCCAAACCACAGGAATGACTGTTGCTTTACTCCTTGTAAAATATTCATGTTAAAAAATAAAGTTAAATAAAAGTTTTCCCATTGATTAATACATGAATTTTAAAAAGGCACCTTCTTGTTTTCTTACCAATAGTTTTATTTTCAGTGCTATCTGTTTGTATTGTACATGTAGGTCCTGAGATGGAGTTGTCCTTCCATGATGGTACAGTGAGGGACATTGTCTTTATGCAGGACACAATAAATAGGTCATCCCTCCTGATCAGTGGAGGGGCTGGGGATTGTAAGATTTATGTGACAGACTGTGAGACAGGAATGCCAGTCAGAGCCATGGCAGGCCATTCGGGTATAAAATACTAAATAATCAGGGGAAACATTACTTGTTCCCTTTCATTCATTTTCTTTCTTTCATTAATAATTACAAAAAGCATAATTAAAACGTGTAATATGAATATATGTCAAGGTTAGCTGTAAGTCCAAGCAACTTTTACTTTATGTATTTTCACCTCAATATCAAATATCTTTGAATTATCTCAAGTTCTTTTGAGTTCCAGATTATGTTTGACTGTACTTAAACAATTTTTATATTGATGAAAATACACATAGTAGAAGTAAATACAACTGTATATATACTCCTACCTGTGTTTTGAATAGTGATGATTGAAAAACATCTTTCCTGCTGTAGGACATGTGTACTCCTTGCATACCTGGGGTGGTTGTATGTTTGTCAGTGGGTCAGCAGACAAGACTGCCAGATTCTGGGACCTCAGGGCCTCTACTGCTATCACTGTGGTCCCCAGCTCAACAGGTAATGTAGACAATAGTCCTTTGTACAACATGACAGAGCTTCAGTACCTCCATCCATTTTTCAAGGCTTTGCCTGTGGTTTTTTTTACCTGAGAAAAGATTCTAAGTTGGATATAGAGTGCCGTTTCTTATTAACATGTAGATTTAAATTTTATGTTCTACAGGAAGTGCTTTTGCATCAGTGTGTGTAGACCCCTCAGGTCGTCTCCTGGCCTCTGGTCACGAGGATGGGAGTGTGATGCTGTATGATATCAGAGGGTCACGGGGAATTCAGAGCTTCCGCCCTCACACAGGGGAATGTCGTACAGTTCGATTCTCCATGAATGCCTTTTACCTGCTGAGTGGATCATATGATAAGAAGATCATCATGACAGACATGCATGGTAGGAAAAAATTAGCTAAAAATAACAATATTTTATTGTAAAGTATAACTCTGTTAAATGAAGTACTCGTATGTTTTAGTTAATCATTTGATACTTAAAATTTCATTTTTATGAAATAGAAGTAATCTATTAATTAAAGTGTAAGATTTTTGTGTTATAAAAGGTGAGAATTTATCCTACACTGTACTGAATCTATAAACCCTGGCAAATATTAATATTCTTAAAGATACATGTATTATGAACTGTAGGTGGATATTTATACATTTTTATGTTCTCCATCTACCAGGTGACCTTCTCAGGCCATTACCTAGTGTGGTGGTTGCAGAACATGAAGACAAGGTCATTCAATGTCGCTGGCACCCATCACAACTAGCCTTCACTAGCACCAGTGCTGATAGACATGTCACATGTTGGGGACTTCCTGTAGTGTAAACAACCACATGATCAAGTCACATGACAGGCACACCACCTGATGATAAATTGCTGTTGTGCGATTTGAATCTGTGAAAGCCAGAGTAGAAATTTAAAGGAATATGACGGTCAATGGTCCAAAATATGTTATGTGTTGCTATTTGATATATGGTACATGTACAAATGAATTACAGTATCATACAGGTTGGGGGGAAACGTAAATTCCGCTACAATAGTGGTATACCACTATTATCGTGAGATTCCGCTATATTTTCAGCCGTAGTTGTCCTCGATTTCATCAAATAACATACTTGCTGTTTAAAGCGCAAGTTATGATGGGAATAAAAATGAACAATAATTGGCATCCTTACACATTATGAATTTTATTTTATTTTCTGCCGATGCGTTTGATAATGCGAACACACTTTTTAAAGCGGAAGTTACATTTTTAACATAGCAACCAGTGATTGCGGTAATATTGAACAAAGACTGACTCTTAATATCTCTCACACATGTGCACAACTTAGTGCTTGTAATAACTTTCAACTCATTTTGGAATAGTTTTGTCAAATTTATAGAAGAAAAGGTGATTTTTGCCTGCATGGTAACGGGTATGGAGGCCCGTTATGACAAATGAAAAAAAAGCTCAGCACATGTACATTTTAATGGAACCGATTTGTGTCGTCTAAATTGTAATCAATATATATAATATGTCACTTTTCGAAGTAATCTTAAGTTTGTGTGTAATGTTTCCTTTCTTGACGATGAATCCATAAATTTAAATGATTATTCTTAGCAAGAAAAGAAGAATTACACTTGTGCATGGAATTACCTGTAGACGTGACGTAAAATAAATTCTGCACGATTTATTGATTCTCTAACTTGCATGAAATTTTATATTTAACTACGGTATGCACTGGAAAAGAAACAATGAAATCCTATTTACCAGAAGTAGATTATTCTGTTGTAAATAAACGAAATACAAGGAGAAACAGAAATATGAAGATAACGAAAAAAGGCCATTTGAGCAATAATTTTTTTGCAGAGCAAATAGGTAGAATAAGGTGCTATGGAGGATTAGCATCCCCTGTCGAACATGGACTTTGCAAAATTCATTTATTAATAGTTATCATGAATTAGTGCATCGTTGTCTTGCCACAGCCGCTAAAATATTAAGCCCGCTTTTTTAACTACAAAGAAGCCATTATATGCACATTGAATTGTTTTCGCGTACGGTTATTTTTTCGTTTTTTTTCCTATCACGACAAGGAACACACTTGTCGGCTGGGAATGCTCACTCCTCCATGACACCTGATCCCACCTCTGATGTTTTTAGGGGTGCGTGTTTGCTCTGTTTAATTTTTTATTGTTTCAATGGACTTTTGAGATCGATTACTGTTTGTTATCTTCATATTTCATACAGTATTTCAAGCAAATTGAAAAAGAAATTAAACCCATTTAATTTATTTTCTGTCTTAAAGTGCAAAAAATTTGAGTGAATTACATTATATTTTTCTTACATCTATTTATTTATTTTCTGTCAGAAAATGTACAAAATTAAGTGAAATCAATCATTGCATTTTCATCGATTTATTTATTGTGTTTTTTCTGTCTTAAGGTGTATTAAATTCTACAAAAAACAGGTATATCTAAGTTGGGATGTAATTAACATAATTGTTATAAACACAAATGAACCTTCAACTCATTTTGTTACTTGCAAGCGGGAATAGGTGGATTTGTGATTTTAAAAAAAGGGTTGGGGAATAGGCGGAAGACCCTCTTAAAACCGAGACCCCTTGTTGTTCGTAATGTGTATCGAATCAATTAATAATTTAAGACATTAATCCCACATGCAGGTAATATGGTATATTGCTACATAACAAGGGAAGTTGACGATAGAAAAAGTAGTTATCACAGGTACCATGTAAGTTTAGTTATTAGTTTGTCATCAATCTGTTTCTCTAGTAAAATATTTAAGGAAAGAAGCAGATTTGTTATACTCCCTGGTGTCTTTTATTAGTAATTTTCAACATACTTCTATTTTTGGAAACTGCAGCTATATCATAACTAAATGAACATTTAATTATTGTCTCGCCATTACGTGGTTTAATCATAATACATGTATTAAGCACCAATGTTTCTTCTGAGAAATTACGCCAAATATTCCCAACAAAAATCGCTCACACATATAATATTTGAAATAGTTTTTAAAAAGATTTTTCTTTTTTTAATTTAACTTTACTTGTCATAATACAAAAATTAATATTTCAAAAAATTTTGTTTAACATTCTGGAAACTAATGTCATATAATGTATATGTAATTACCTGCAGAAATGACATCTTATATCATTGTTAACGATTTATTGCAAAAACTATACAAATCGGTTTCATCAGAATAAAGTAAACATGTAATGAGCTTTTTTTCGTTTGTCATAACGGGCCTCCGTACACGTCACCATGCAGGCAAAAATCATCTTTTCGTCTGTAAAATTGACAAACCTATTCCAAAATTGGTTGAAAGTTATTACAAGCACTAATTTGTGCACATGTGAGAGAGATATTAAGAGTCAGTCTTTGTTCAATATTACCGCAATCACTGGTTGCTATGTTAAAAATGTAACTTCCGCTTTAAAAAGTGTGTTCGCATTATCAAACGCATCGGCAGAAAATTAAATAAAATTCATAATGTGTAAGGATGCCAATTATTGTTCATTTTTATTCCCATCATAACTTGCGCTTTAAACAGCAAGTATGTTATTTGATGAAATCGAGGACAACTATGGCTGAAAATATAGCGGAATCTCACGATAATAGTGGTATACCACTATTATAGCGGAATTTACGTTTCCCCCCAACCTGTCATAAGTTCAAATACTTACCTAAGCATATAAGTCAAAAACATGTACAGTGGATATGTTGAAGTGAATCTGTGGTTCTGACTTTATTATTCAACTTTGATATCTCAAACCCTTAAATATCTTGATGATGTTATCACTCCCAAGGAGTTCAGGGCTTGAATGTGTTGTACAGATTTTTATTTTTGGTGGTAATTATGAATTAGCACACCAACTTCTAAGCCATAATATAAGAGTCCCACTAAAATACAGATGATACTAGGGTATACAACCTGGTAATTTTGTATTAAAATTTGATATTTTCTCGGTACATACATGTATTATCAAGACCAGTTGAAATTTTTGGCATTGATAAATAAATCTTTCTTTACATTCAGTACATACTTGTATATTCTAAGAATTATTGTTAAAGGGCTTCCCAAATGCTTCTTTTTACCCATAGAACCATTAATAGCAGATAAGCTGAAGCTATACAAATGTAAGATATTTTGGACTAGAAACACTGTTAAAAGGGATTTGTGGAACTGTTTAATAAAACTATTATTAGATTTGTGCACATTGTAATCTGCTTTTATATTTATATATATATATATAAGTGAAATGCAACCAGTGTGCACTGCCCAAGAAATATAAATCACTATTATAATGATGTTAGTATTTTTACACATTTAGAGGTACTTTATTACTGTGGTCTTCTTGCAGGACTTGATTGGGATTAAAGATTACCAGATTTCAACTTCACATTTTTTCAAATGCTTTGCTAATAATGATGTGCTAATTATATTCGATTTTGATGGTGCATAAAGTGTGCGTTTTTTAATTACCCATTATTGATCTTGAAGTCGTACAGATCGTGAACCACATTTAGGTCTGAGAATTTCAACTTGTACAAATCAATGCCATTATTATCTAGTCAGTTATTTTTTGTGTGTGGTATATTTTATTGTTTTTTTTTAATCTTGCAGCAACATGCAAATGGGGATATTTTTATTAAGTCTCTTATTTCGAACTCATTCAGGTGGATTGTTTCCATTTGCTTTTTTTCAACTTTTTTTGTTGTTTATGCAGAATGATGAACATTATGTAACCATCTTTACAGAAATGGTTTGTCCCATGGTATTTGCTTTTAGTCTGTGATGTTTTCCTCCAAGGTTGGGTTATTAATTTGCTTTATTGTTCGTATTCCCTCCATTTTTTGTGATGGTATATTTCATTCCGCCCAATTTGCTTTTTTTCCCTCCCAAAGCATTCAATATATAGCACTACATTGTGTAATTATTATTGGTATTTTGTTTATTTCTTTCTCAGTTTTCTATAGAATATATGTATTGTCAAACTCAATATATGTATATACGTATTTGCAAATATACTGAACATTAGCTTACATAAAATGTTGTAAGAATTCAGATAGTTATCTTGTACGTTATACACATTTATAGAAGTAGTTAATATTTCTTGTAATTCATATAAATCTGTAGGTCTGAGATTTTTCATTAAAGTACTGTCTACCCTATATTACATTCAGTAGTTCTTTTTAACACATGTATATTACTATTTTCTTCAAGTCTTAAGAAAAGAGTTTTAGTAATTTTCCACTTTCAATTAAAAAAAAAATTTAAATATAAATATAACCTGCTACAATAAAAAAATAATTCAGAAAACTGAATTTTACAAGTATGTAGATCAGCAACATTCATATCTTTATTACAAAACAAAATAAGTTTGGCAAAAACAACTACATTTTGAACTTCTTTATAAATTTCAGATTTCTTCACAACAACCATTTTTATTAATATTGATGATTTTTACCCCCTGATATTAATTAATGCACTTTACATTATGTGTATGTACAGTATATATAAATTAACTGAATATACTTCTGACTGTTCAATGTACATGTATATTTGACTTTGCTATGCTTTACATTTTTTGTTTGAGATTTCAATGCGTCTTTGCAAATTTCTTTTATTATCTGCTTTTTTGTTATTTTTCTGATTTCTCAAACAGGAGGTAGAATAAAACTCAATCATCAGTTAACACAGACTTCTTATTCCTTTGAGATCTCAGCACATTTCTGTTCATCAAGGAGTACATGTAATGTATGGGGTGATCAGAAAATGTCATCAGCATCGTAACTGACCACTTCTCTCTTGTCTTTGTATGAGCTCTTCTGGGAGTTACTGGCAGCTGAAAAATAAACAATCACACAATGTTGTGTTATTCTCTCAACCATGTCAATACTCTGATGAAATCATCAACAAAGGAAAATTTGATTCACTTAATTAATCAAATTAAAATAAAACACAGGTATTCAAAGATTACAAAGTTTATCTTGAGGAATGTTAACTAAATGTGACAGCAAAGTCACACATCAAATGAATATTCTGGTAGAGTGCATATCAAGATGCAACATCCATACAAGTTTTATCTGTGTAGGATAGGATTCACAATTCTTTGGAATGAACTTGCTCCAAAAACTGTTTCAATCACCTGAAAAACATAGGTCAGATAATCCAGGTAGGTCAGATGAAAGATGCTGCGTCCAAATCATGTCTGTAGAGTGAGCATCCCTAGAATAAGATGTCATTCAAGCAAGTT